TTATGCACGCAACATTGGAATGAGGCGGGGGTGGGGGAAGGGGGAGGACGAAGACGTATCAGCGATGGGAATGGAAGGAAGGAGGCCGGCTCCGGGGGCGGAGCGTACCCTCTGTTGCCGTCAGAAGTCGAGGTACAAACGAGGGACGGAGACACGGATGCAGGTCTTTGTGGGAGAGGCAAGATTTTGAGCAGGGGAAAGGGGCTTCGTTTCTGGAAGGTGAAGATGGAGCTGAGAGGATGAGGGCATGAGCCTCGAGCTTCCGGTCGATGGGAGAGTCAGACCGTGCTTGAAGCAGCCAATTTTGTCATGTATCCTTTTTGGCAGGGACTAGTGTTTTCTAGCGCACGCATTCGCCGGGAGACTATTTTAATCTAAAAGAAATTGTGGCAGTAGTTTAACTCAATGCGCCTCGAAGCGACGTTCACAGCCTTGGTGGGAATACCTATTTTCTTCTTTAGAATGTCGTTAAATAAATATAGAGTGCAGGGTCATTCAACCTTATGCACTGCTGATGCCAGTCCGACTCTTGTTTGACTGGAATTGTACGATATGTCCTACATCTTCGCGCTTCGAAATCATGCCTAGTGCTACATTTTGGGTTGGGTGTGCAGCTCGACTCAAGTGAGCTCAAACGCAACGCTTCCTTCGGATGCATTTCAAGGCAAGCTGCCAGGGGAGAGCATATGTACTTCCAATACTTGTCTTTCCCCGGTCCAGCATTCAGGATCCTCAGGTCTCTCCACTCTCGTGTGTGTTCGCGTAATAATCAATGTGCCTGTCACTGTATCTCTGCACTTTGTGTGTCGGTGCTCGATTCACCCCGTACGGTCTCCGGCTTTCACTTCTGCCGCGACACTCTCTCTTCATACTGTGCACGGTCTGCAGCTTCCCTGTCTTCCATGCACACCCCTGAGGCCCGCTGCCCCGGTCGCGTACTTTACTGCGCCTTTTTGAAATTATCGTCCTTGAGACCCTCCTTGCATTCTGTCTCCTTAACCTTCAATCTTCCGGTCACGTGCTCCCGGTCCACCATATCCATCTGAGTTCCTCCCTTACCCAGCGCCCGACCGAGGTAGCGCCGGGCAAAGAAATTCATAAACAGGCCCAGATACGTCGCATACATGAGACAAATCGCCACAATCATGCGTCCGTCGATCGCACAACCTCCCCCCCCCCCTGCTCCCCTCCTTGGGCCCAATATTTGTAATAACAGCTGGCGGCAACAACAAAAATGCCCACAAACATTTGACTTATCTGAGCAACAGTGAGCCACATGGGGTTGAACCAGCGGGGCACCCTGTGCAGGGCCATTAAAAAAAAATACATGTACATAATGCCATGGATGGAGTAGTTGATCGCCATAAAATACAAGGCAGGGGTGAACGTCACATGACCAAACCACGAGCAGAGAAGGACGGTGGCATGGTGGTACCAATGCAAAAAGATCAGCTTCTTCTTCCGCAGCACCACAAAGACGGTGTCAACAAGCTCTAGAAGCTTCGACACGGTGAAGACCAAGCACCATAGGCCGGTCGCGTTGTCGGCGTACGTAGCCTCCGGGGGCGCGCAGATCGTGTCGCGGAAGGAGAAGCCACCCCAAGGGGAGAGGAGGTAAAGCAAATGGGTACCCACACGAATCGCACCCGCCATGCTGACCAGAGAAAGGAAGAGGTTCCAAATGCAGAGGCCAGTTTGGAGGTGGAAAGCCTTTCGAGGATGCATCATTCGGGGGCCATAATGGCAAAATGCCAGATACGCACCCGTTGCCACCAGGGGAATCCACATGTGATTGTACAAAAAGAGAAAGGAGGGCGCCGCATCAAAGTTTTTCTCGTAGGACGTGTAGAAAGGGGCCAACCAGGGAATGAGTTGCCAAATCGGGTAGAAAGGCACGCCCCGAGCCGTCGTCAGGGGAGGGGGCAACGCCCCAGGGTCTGCGGAAGAGAAAGGAGAAAGAAAAAGCTTATGCTTGGAAGCAATCGACATGGAGTCTTGGTCGTTGTCGTGATAGACCGGACTCAGGCCTTGATTCTGTCAAAGTAGTGAGACAAAAATGAAGGGAGCTGGAGATGTGGGCATGAGACGCAGAGGGGGGAAGACCAATTCGGATATGTCACATGTATGCATCCCACAAAGCAGTGAAAGGCTTGTAAAGGGTGAAACCCGGAGGATGTGCAGAAATGGTGAATTTGAGAGTTCAGACTCCTCGATTCGTGGCAACATTGATACGACTGCTTTTATGCCCGCGCAAGATAGCAATAATAGGGGCTATTTATGAGGCAAAGACAGGAGCAGCACGACCTCAGTCCTTTATTCTCGGAATCTATAAGTCAAAATTGGCCATTCCATTTGAAATAACCTTCAGGGAGAAAACATTAAAATGGGGCGTAAGGCGGGGGGAGGTTGTCGACAAGAAACACATTACGTACGCGTCATCGCATTTCTTTCGTTAAGGACACAACAAGGCGACATAAATGAAGGGCGTGCATCTTTCCGAAAAGACTGCACGTGCCGCCGCATCGTGTGAAGGGTGGTCACAGGATAGCGTCTTAGGACACGGGCACGTCCTGCCGGCTTCTGATATGTTTGGCGGCAATCCCACCGCGATTTTATTTTTTTTCCTCCTCCTTTTAGCGAAACGACAAAACTTCGGACGCAACCACAAATAAGCGAGAAACCAGAAGACTTCTTGCCAATGTCATTCGACGCGTGCCCTGAGACATGGACGCGCCGGGAAAAACACGACTCCGCCTCGGTGGGATACGCCGAGGCATAGATGACGATGCTTTCATGTTTGTGAAGCGTGTTTGCATGGGCGGAAGATACCAAACTCGCATGCTTCTTGCACTCGGGAATAATGCTCTTTCGTCTGATTGCCCCGTCCAAGTCTTTCCCTCCCATGCCCACCCAATCCGCACGATTAAGACTCTTCCTGTCCGTATCCATTGACAGCAAGCATGCTTTCTTCGGCTCGAGGTCGCGCACTGTCCTGTGCTTTCAACCGATCAGTGCACCGAAGTCGG